TCCAGGCACCAAAACAAATAGATTGAAGAGATATATGACCAAGATACAGATCCTTCAAATGCTGCTTACATAACCCAATTCGCCTTCTTTGTATACTGGGATGGATACAACTAYAAAATCCTGTTTTCCAAACMGGAAACTTTTGTCGTTGCATAACATGGATGGTGTAAACACATGGTGCTGCAGACCTACAGCCTATTGCAAAACATGTACATGGTCGGGAGTCGCTTACTATTCTTGCCAACGATAGTAAACACAAACCACTATAAGGAATCCCATAGAAAAGTCCCTCATCATAACAWGTGTCCTCAGATACCAGTRTCTCATTTTCAATCTCTTCAGTTGATGGGAGTCTGCTCAAATCTAAATCAAATTTCCGCTCTATCTCAGACTCATGTAGCCTGTACTTCATTGCTAGTGTACGAATGCAAGATTTTCTTACTTGCTCAGTAATAAAGAGCTTTATTTCAACAAAATTATTACATAAACGATACCATCTAAGCCACCGATGAACTATACCAGAGAACCAATCAATAATATGATCATGGTCTAGTAMAAGAAGCATATGACATGCACGAGGGAATCCTTCAGAAGTTGTCATTCCATATCGTTGGAGACACGTCCTTATAGCTTTCAGTGGGGCAAGAACTTCTCTGATGGAGACTACTTCAGAAGAGCTGATAGATTCAGGCAAAAGAGCAAGAGTAGATGTAGTCTCAGAAGAAACATATTTTTTGGCATGCTTTTGAAATGTGCAAAAAGAATCTTTTAGGTCTTGAGGTAGTGCTTTTTCAGTGATAAAATTGGATAAGATAGATTCTTCACTCTCRGCATATTTCGCATCAATGTCTTGCATCCATATCTTTAGTAAGACTTTATACCAATGATCAGTTTCCATTCCAGGTTTACGAAAGTGTGAAATCTGGCTCAATATCGAGTGACTGTCAGCAAGATGTTTGATTTCTGATTCTTTGACTTTCTTGAATCCATGACCAAGGCATTTTTTCCCAATTCTGACTGTCCCTTCGTCCCATAACTCTTGTTTTTGTAATGCAAATAACTTAACTTTTTCCTTTAACTTGTGAACCGCTCTAACTGCAGGACTCTCTCTTACAATGCTCTTTACAAGGTTGCCAAGGAATCTAATACCTCGAGAATCATTGCAAGATAAAATCTCTGCCTTGCAATCCATTTC